GTACAGAATCAAATAGTTACTTTCACATTGTTGTGAAACAGATCTTCAGAACTCTACACCTATTTAAAAAATAACTTTTGGGCTATGGCTATAGCTCAGTTGGTAGAGTGCTTGCCTCTCATGCACAAGGCCCTGAGTTCAATCCCCAGCACCATAAAAAAATAATAATAATTTTCTCTTTCTCCCTCCCCTCCAGACCCTGAAAAAAATCACCATTCTACTCTCTTTCCATGAACTTGATTATTTTAAATACCTCACAGAAGTGGAATCATACAGTATTTGTCTTTTTGTGACTGACTTATTTCAATCAGCATAATTGTCCTCAAGGTCCATCCCTGAGGGCTGAGCATGGATCTCAGTGGTAGAGCATTCATGCCTTGGATTCAATGTCCACGCCACACCCAATAAAGTTCATCCAGGTTGTATCACGCACGTGTCAGAATCTTCTTCTTTCCCAAGGCTCAATGCTATTCTATTGTATGTATATACCACATTTTGTTTATTCATCTATCAATGGATATTTTATTGGTCATTGTAAATTGTGCTGCTGTGAACATAAAAGTGTGCACATCTCCTTAAGAACTTGCTTTCACTTATTTTGGATAGACACCTACAAGTGTGATTGCTGGATCCTGTGGAAATTCTATAAGTTTTTAAGGAACCACAGTATTGTCATAAGGGTTTCAATTCCTCCCCATCCTTACTAATATTTCTTTCTTGATTTTTGTTTATCGTGGCCATACTAACGGGTGTGAAGTGATATCTCACTGTGGTTTTGATTTGCATTTCTAGAAAATGCAATTTTTGTGGTGCACGTTCATACTTTTGAGGCAATATCATAAATAATATAATTATCTACTGGAAGTAATTGTTGGGAAAACAGCAAAAATGCAAGTGCAAATTCTCTGCAGACTCGCTATTGGTCATCAAACTTTTGAGCACAGTCTAAATGTATTAGCCAAACTCCAGAAACTTAAAATCTTATATGAGACAAGACAGATATTGAAGGGATCCAGTTCAACCCAACTGCAGAATATCTTGACTCATAAACTCTATGATTGCCCCCAAGTAACCCTGGTCTGTTTCCCCCTGCATAGTTTCCAGTATGCTATAAATAAAACAAAACCATTAGAGTGGCATGTGGAGCTTTGGACTAGACACTGTCACCATCAGCACCGGGAATGCTTCTGATGTCCTTGTTGTTCAAACCAGGTACACTCTGATTTAGACATAAGTCACTTTTGTCCTGGCCACTATATCTCCTACACCAACATGCTGGCTGAGGAATCCCAGGAGAGATGCCCTAAAGAATCAGAAGTCTCTTCCAGCTCACTCGATGAGGGTAATATTTCCCTTTACAGGATGAACATTGTTCTTAGCCTCATGAATATTGGAAAAAGCAGCTTGAAGAGAAGTGTTTGCTCTGTACAATTTTATTTTTTTAAACTTTAAATACCAAGTGCTTCTCACTGGCAATTTTGAAATAACTCCTCTAACAAATAATAAGAATTCTCTGGGGCTCTAATTACATTGCCACCCAAACATACTAAGCCTGGGCTACAAGGAATACCGTTTAGCAAGGACCTGGAGGATTCTGCACGGGACTTGGCAGAACAGGGCTCTGTGTTGTGCCTTCAGTTCCAACATTCTTGATTGCACACAAATCCAGCAAAGGCTGATTCATAAGAGCCGCAAAGGACTCTCCACAGACATGGCATATATTTTAGGAAGACTAGGCCTCTGGCAAGGAGTGAGATAATTAAACTAAAATGAATAAAGTTCTGGAACCTCCACTCCACTTCAACTCTTTCAGAGCGTAACTTCTCTCCTGATTTATGCAGTGGTCACCTTTCTAGCACCATAACAAATACCTGAGATGAGCAATTTGTGGACAGAAAGGGTTATTTGGAGTCAGTTGTGGAGGTTTCAGTCCATAGCTGGTTGGCCTGTCGCTTTAGGATCTGTGGCAAGGCAGCACATCGTCAGAGCAGCACAGGGACAGCAAAGCCACTCCCCTGATGCCCAGGAAGAGAATGAGAGCGAGGGAAAGAATGGGTCCCACAATATCCTTCAAGAACACATCCCCAGTGACCCAAAGACCTCTCAGTGGGACCCACTGCCAGGCATGGTGACAGTGGCCTGTATTCCCTGTGGCTCAAGAAGCTGAGGCAGGAGGATTGCAAGTTAGAGGCCAGCCTCTGCAATTCAGCGAGGCCCTAAAAAAACTTAGTGAGACCCTGACTCAAAATTTAAAAGAAAAGGAAAAAAGAGAGAGAGAGAGAGAGAGAGAGAGAGAGGAAAAAGAGAGAGAGAGAGAGAGAGAGAGAGAGAGAGAGAGAGAGAGATGCAGATTCAATCCCCAGTTAAAAAAAAAAAAAAGTTTTCATCACCTCTCAATAGTGCCAAGATGGGGACCAAGCCTCGTAACACATGAACCTTTGGGGACTCTTGTCCTGCAGCAGTCCATGAAAGAATCTTCTCACTTTCCTCTCTGAAGTAGTTTATAACATCCTTATCCCAGAGTATCCCCACCATATGCAAAAAAAAAAAAAAAAGGAAAACTCTTCTTCACAACAATAGAGATGCCAAGAAGCTTCTGAACAGGACTGGCTAAGTTCCCCCAGTCTATCACCACTAGTCATTCCCTTTGGTCCTCCAATCGTGTGTCTCTACAACTACCTACTTCTTTATCACACTTACAAAAAAAAAAAGCTTACCTGTTTCTTTGGATCTTCATTTTTGGGGGGTGGCGTGGGGCACTGGGGATTGAATCCAGGGGCACTTAACCACTAAGCCACATCCCCAGCCCTTTTTTTTTTTTTATTTTGAGATAGGGTCTCCGTGAGTTACTCAGGGTCTTGCTAAATTGCTGAGGCTGGCTTTGAACTCGTGATCCTCCTGCCTTAGCCTCCTGAGCCACTGGGATTACAGGCATGCGCCACCGCACCCCCGTGGATCTTCATTTCTGAAGGCTCTTGTATCATGTAAAACTTACATTAAATGTGTTTTTCTTGTTAATTTGTCTTTTGTTATCAAAGTCTCAGCCATGAACCTAGCAATGGATGAGAAAGGAAATCTTTTCTCTCCTACATTTCCCTCATAGAAAAAAATGGATGTTGTTGTCCATTTTGAAACCAGAAGACCTTTCTTCTAAGAAATATTTTATTCTTCTCTCATTCCTTTAATGTTCCTACAAATATTCTATTATGTAAATAACGTTTCTAAATTAAGCATCAGAAGCCAGGCATGGTGGTGCATACCTATAATCCCAGCTGTCTCTGGAAGCTGAAGCAGGAGGATAGCAAGTTACAGGCCAGCCTTAGCAACTTAGTAAGACTCTATCTCAAAATTAAATTTTTTAAAAGGCCTGAGCTGGAGGTCAATGGCAGAGCACTTGCCAAGCATGTGTGAGGCCCTGGGTTCAATCACCAGCCCCGAAAATAATAATATTAATTTATAATAATTATAATAATAATAATAATACATGGTTCCATATGGATCATGTAAAATTTTTTATTTTAAATCTCTAGGATATTTCTACTCAGAAGCATTTTCTACCTTTGGAACTTTCTGTATTTTTATACTTATATAAATAAATTAAGTAGTATTTTAATACTACTTAATTTTAATACTACTTAATTTTTAACATATTCAAATAACATGCTTCTTTTCAGAGTATTATATAACATGAAATATATATATAAATGCAGTTTTTTTCACTTATTTATATGTGACACTGAGACAGCTGGTTTTAGTGAATGAAATAAAATGATATAAATTATAGACAGCCTCTCTGTGTGAAAACCCACTCCCCTTTTCACTTATAGTTTCCATTTGGCTATAGATGGCATGAGATAAAACTTCAAAATCCTTCAAGTAGTGCAACCAATAATCTTGATTATATTTTTAAAGTGTTAATGAAAGCAATTTTTCATTTTCCTACTCTTTTTATCTTTTAAACTTCTCAAGAGTTTGTTTTCAAGTTGGAACAACCCTTTATTGAAGCATTACCAGGTGGTTTTTAGAATGGTCTGCTTATTTTCTATCTGATGAGGATTAAATATTTGAACTTGTCCAAAACATTGACTTGAACAAAAACCTGGGGTGTTAAAAGTAACCTTTTTGAACTGCATGCCTCTGAGAACAGATTAGCTCTTCGGATAAGAAAAATAAAAATCACCTTTCATTAACTTCCAAAACCTCCAACTGGCTATACCTTGTTGTCACACAGGGCAATTACTTGTGGCTATCTGAATTAAATTCCACTTAAAATACAGTCCTTGAATCACATCAACCACTGTTCAAGTGTTCAAGAACCCTGTGTCCGGCAGTTACTGCGCTGGGTGACAAAGATACAGGACATTTCTTTCACTGCTGAAAGCTACTCTTGGACATCACCAGGCTAGACCATGAAAGTCAATGTGTGCACATTACCCTTCTTAATCACAAAAGCTAGTTAAGCATTTCTTCAAGACCGTCAGTCACATCTTGTTTATCTTAATCTAAGACAATTGTATAAAAATAGGAACTTTGTAAGATTTATCCAAATCATGTGATGTGACCTAAGATCACAAAGCCCTGAAGTGAATCCTACTATAACATACGGTCCCACGGGCCTCCTGGGCCATGGTCACTGTGGGTGGAGTTTCCCTGCAGTACCCACAGGGAAGCCTTGCCCAGGATGAACTCAGCAGTGTATGCAGTGGGTCTCCCAGACTCTAAGTGGACCCCTGGGAGGGAAGACCCCCTGAGGGCATTGCTTCTGTTTTCTGTGCTCAGGTAGCTCCCAGAACCCCCAAGGTAGCCACTCAGGAAAGGATGGTTGCTGTCCAGGCAGGCCATTCAAAACTTTCCACCCCAGCAGGGCTCACACTTCTTCCTTGAGGGACTGCCACACCCCAGCTGAGCGTCTGGAACCCCATGCACGGGCAGCCTTCCCACCCCCAAGGCCCAAGTCACACCCTGGGTCTCTTCTGAGAGCCAAAACAGAGCTCCAAATATTCTTGCCAAAATATAATTTAAAACATCACGGAAGTAACAGTTCATTTCAACCCAAGGAACGTTAGTTACTCTCAGTAAAAGAAAGAATGTATTAAACATTTTCAAATAACAAAACTCTGATCTGACTTGTCCAATATGAAGGTTCTTTTCACGACCCTTTAGCCCTTGATTTCTGAAAACAGTGCATTCAGTGTCAGAATTTGGTCATTAAATTATAATTTTTTAAAAAACCTTCTATAATATTAAATGTGCATTATTTGGAAACAATTGTATGCAAATGAACCTATAAATACCAATATATAAACTAATTTATCAATTCTTGAGCCCATAGAGGAAGATTATTCATACATTTGAAATTTGAAAATTATTTTTCTTAATGACTATGACAGTGGTTAATAGACTTTGTCCTAAAACTCAAGCCATGATTCCTATATGACATAACCTTTACACAAAGTTGTAAAGCTCCACAGGATGGTGAGATTTTGCAGTCTTCTGATGAATGATGTTAAAGTTGAAGGCTAAAAGATACCTTGGTAGTATAGCTGGGCACAGATTCTATGAGGAGAAAAAAAATACTTCATTAGTCATTCGCCCTTTTATTATTATTGCCACTTAATATTTTAAGCATGGAGATAATGTGTAAGTGGTGAATAATGAATTCATCACCGTTAAGTTAACCATCACTAATGGGTAGCCAAGCTTAGGAATGTTTATATGTAAGATGGAGTCATTAAATCTTGTCCTTGGCAATCTCTCCAAACAACTAACACAGCTGTGTCAAGGATTTAGAAAGTATACAGCCCTATAATAATAAAAGTTGAAACAATAAAAATAGAAATAGATGGGCAAAGACAAGGGACTACAGGTATCAGGTGGAAGGAAGGCTGGTTTATGAGAAAAATTTGGGCTATCCTAAGCCAAGCATGACCTTAATAAGTGCACCTTCTCTCTGCCTTGCTCTTTCCACTAGTTACTACCCCATCCCTCGGCCTTCACAGCTAAATTTTGTCCAAGGATGTTTTATACCAATGGTTCTCAGAAATGTGGGTTGTCTCAGACTGAAGGCACCAACACGACCAAGAGTTGTTAGAAATGCTCCTGTGGAGACCCCATCCCAGACCCAGAGTCCAAAGTTCAAGGAACAGTGAGGGCTTCAAGCTCCTCATGAACCTCAGACCACAGGAGGTTGTAGGTCCAGGTGGACTGGCAGAATCTAGTGTTTTCTGCTGATAGACATGGATTCTATAACTGATGGGGAAGGAGAGAAAAAGGGAAGACTTCGATAAAAGCAAAGCAAGCAGGTGGGGTGCAATGGCACCTGCCTGTAATCCCAGCAGCTCGGGAGGCTGAGGCAGGAAGATTTCAAGTTCAAAGCCAGCCCTAGCAACTTAGCGAGGCTCAAAGTAACTCAAGGAGACCCTATCTCTAAATAAAATATTAAAAAGGGTTGAGGATGTGGCTCAGTGGTTAAGTACCCCTAGGTCAAATCCCTGGTACCAAAAATAAACGAATGAATGAATGAATAAATGCAAAAGAATTTTTAAAAATTCAAAACACACACATGACCATATCTAACTTGGACTTTAAGAAATTGCTATTTCTTGGGTTGGGAGGATATAGCTCAGTCAATAGAGAGCTTGCCTCACATGTACAAGGCCCTGGGTTCAATCCCAGCACCACCAAAAAAAAAAAAAAGAAAAAGAAAAAAAGAAATTGCCATTTCTGTAGGTCAAAACTAGCTGCATATTAGTAATATCATTTGATTCAACCTAATATGAATATATTTTTAAAGGATCAAATTATTACAATTGTTCAGAAATAAGTGAATGGATCAAAACTCATCATCACTAAAGGTAATTTTAAAAAACAAGTATCTTTCATAAATGAGGTATTTAATTTAAGTAAATACATTTCTATCTATTTGTCACTATTAATAACTACTGAATAATAAATAAGTTTAACTGATTGACTTTAAAAGTGAATTATTATTTCTGTTCTCATAGATTCAAAACTTCATATCTATATCCTCTAGTTCTTTCTGGTATTTTTACATAATAGCACTATTATTATGTATTTTTACATAATAGCATAAAAAATGAATAAAGTAACAATAAAGATAACAATAAAGTATTTTTGTTTTTGTTTTAGTTTTGGTACCAGGGATTGAACCCACAGGCCCTTAACCACTGAGCCACATCCCCAGTATGACCACCCCCACACCCCCTTTTTGTCCAGCTGTAGATAGATACAATACCTTTATTTTATTTATTTTAATGTGGTGCTGAGGATTGAACCTACTGCCTCACATGTGCACTGAGATACAACTCCAGCCCAGTCCAGCCTATATATTTTAGAGACAGGGCTCACCAGCAGAATCTGGCCTCAAATTTGGAATCATCCTTCCCCAGTCTCCTGAATCACTGGGATTACTGGTGTGCACCACTGTGCTGGGCTTAGGTTTCATATTTTGCATAAATTTCTACTTTATTTCAAAATAATTCAGCACTTGAGATTAGGAAGAGCCAGATTAGAGGTAGCCTCATCCCCAGCCCTGTTTTGTATTTTATTTAGAGACAAGAGTTTCACTGAGTTGCTTAGCTCCTCACCATTGCTGAGGCTGGCTTTGAACTCACCATCCTCTTACTTCAATCTCCTGAGCCACTGGGATTACAGGCGTGCACCACCGTGCCTGGCTCTTTTTGTGATCTTTACACAGGTATTTTTTGATTTAGATGATATAACTTTTTCCAAAAATGGAAGCAGACTTTTGAAATGGAATCGTTTATTTTCCCCTTAGCATAGAATGTTGTTTTGCCAATATGATTTAGTTTAAAACCCACAAACAGTTAATAATAGAGCCCTTGCATCTCGAGTGTATGTTTCTCAGCCTCTCTGCCCAATACTTGATGACGTGTCCGGCATTCAAGGACGATTTTTAAGGAAATTTATCATTTGGGTTCTTTGGTGAGGAGTAAATGGTTACAGAGTAACCTGACTCCCTAATCAATGAACTTTTTGTCAAAATGATTTATGTTAGCAAATATATTGTATGATCAGTGGAATTCTTCATATTTGTTTTAGATAATTTTAAATATGAGCAACTCACCTCTTTCTTTAAGATCCTCAATATAGGCTTTCATAAATTCTTTATCAAAATGTTGCCGTTCCTGTTCACTTTCCATTATCTCATCATCATCTTGACCCTGGGCCTTATCAATAGGATTATCCATCAGACTTATGAATCTATTCAAGAAAGCATGGAAAATACCACATTTCCAACTGTTCGTGTTTAAGCAAAAAATTCCTAACGTTAGAAGCCAACCTTTTGCAGAGAGCAGTGATTCACGCCTGTAATCCCAGCAGCTCGGGAGGCTGAGACAGGAGGATCACAAGTTCAAAGCCAGCCTCAGCAATGCTCCTTTATCAACCTCCCAAATTGTTGGAATTATAGGTGTGTGCCACCATGCCCAGCCTGTATCTAATCTTTTTATTGAACATTTGTCAGCTCAAAGAGCTTTCATCCGTTACTCTGAGATTGCCAAATTCTACAGCTGCACCACTGGAAGTTATTTCAGTGATGTGATGGGTTTACCCTGACTTCTCTCAGATGTTCCCTGGTGCCCAAATGGGTTGGATCCTCCTACCTGTCTCACCAGTGATCTTCTCCCCAAACAACATTCCTAACATAGCGGAGGAGGACCCTGGAAGACCCATTCCAGGGGAAGGAGTAGAATAGAACAGGTGGGGAATGTCTTGTACCTCTACTAATCTTGCATTTACGCAGGCATGAAATGGGTCTCTCTCTTCCCAGCAGTGAAACCTCTGTATTTGTTTGCCACATGTCCTACTGCAGTGACAGAGAGATAAGGAAGACTTAACTCTACGTTGATAGTGAGCATTTACCAGTGAGAGAGAACCTGTGGCCTTCACAGAAGATGGGTCTCTGGACACAGAGAGAAGGTGGTTCTCGCCAGAGCTTCCCTGGGTGAAGGTTCTGGAAAGGCTCCAAGCTGCTAAGGCTCCAAAATGGTCTCAGGGTAGAAGGGATAGGGGAAACCCCATGGCTCCAAATTTTGGCAGGATGTGCTCCAGGGAGTCACACCAGCTGTCTCAGAGTTATTTGAGTGAATGATGGAGCTGGGGCTTCCACGGCCAGGGTAAGAAAGACTATGTCTCCCCCAGATCCCAGGCTGTTTGTATCACATTTGCAATGGATGATTATCTTAGCTTAGGGTGGTTTATGGGTTCGTTTAGAAAATCAAAAGGACAAGGCACCCAGGGAGGGTTTCGTGAACAGTGGCTGACCTCCCCAGGAACAACAGGCGTATCTGTGCTGAGCAACAGGGGGCTCCTGGCATCCGTCTCCCAATGCCTTCAATCAGCAAGTAGCATTTGTGCAGAAATCCTGTTCCCTGGTTCCCTGAGCTCTATCTTCCCATGCCATGTGCACCAAACTTCCAAATCCAATGAAAAGCAAACTGGGATCAGGTTCTCTAGGGTAGGAGAACCATCTAATCTGGTTTTGAGACAGGCTCCCAGGCTCTGGAGGCTCTTTGCTCTCTCCCTGTGTCTGACTGTGTCTACCAGGATCTCTGGTCTACTCACTTCACTGGCGTGGAGGAGTCACAAAGGGCAGTTGGGAGCTCCACCAAATGGTCCCCACTGACAACCAGCAAAGTGAGCTTCTTGAGGTTCAGCAAGCAGTACGGAAGGTAGGTCAACTTGTTCTTATACAAGAGAAAGCTCTGCAGTTCTTCCAGCCTGAGGAGAAGTAGAGAGGATCAGAACACGAGGACTTGGCCTCCTAGCCAGTTACAGATTCCAGAAGGCAACCCCTACTGAGCAGATTCCATCTATGTGATGGGTATGAGAACAAGCTGAACTTTACATTTTAAATAAATAAATAAATAAAACCACATCAGATACCATGATTTTTTTTTTTTTAAGTTTTTGCTGACTTAATCACCAGTGGAAGACACAGATAAAGCAGCAAGGTAGCTGGACGTGGTAGTGCACCCCTGTAATCCCAGCTGCTTGGGAGGCTAAGGCAGGAGGGTCACAAGTTCAAAGCCAACCTCAGCAACTTAGCAAGGCCTAAGCCACTCAGTGAGACCCTGTGTCTAAATAAAATATGAAAAAGGACTGGAGATATGGCTCAGTGGTAAAGCACCCCTGGGTTCAATCCCTGGTACCCCCGCCCCCGCAAAAAAAAATAAATAAAAAGCAGGATAAATACATTGTACAATTCACAGTAGGTCACCATGGGGCCTCAAAAACCAGTATATCCCTTCCTCTCCGTGTCTCCTGTATTTCCAAGGGCCAACAGAGCACAGGAAAGAAATCACACCAGTGTTAGAATGAGAACAAACAGATTTTGGAAACAGATTTCCTTTCGCACAGTTTAGAAGCATGGTCACTCTTCTCCCACCATTATATTCTCACACTAAAATGGGAAGAAAACCGCAGAGTGAAAAGGAAATGAGCAAAATATTTTCCAAATATATTTAACTGTTTTCCATTTTATTCTAATTCACTGACCCTCCCTCCATTTGTCCAGAAATCCTGTTCCCTGGATTTTTCTTTCATTCATTTGCAAAGTCGTGACTAATCCCACAGATATTTCACAAAGTTCCTCTCATGTTTCAAACTTGGACAGTCCCCAGTTATTCTCATCAAAAATCCTCTGAGCTCTGTCTTCTCATGCTATAGAGAGCATTCTACGCATGGTATGTACAAGAGTAGGAAAATGTCATCTGGGGTGGCACTCAGGCCCCGGCCATTGCTGGCCTCTGTCCTAAGAGCTTACTTCTATCTCTTGATAAATAAGATTGTAGATTCAGGAGGCCAGAGATTGTGTTCCATTCAGCACTTTAAACCCAGCCCACTCATGGGAGCCTGATAATATTGGTGAAATGAATCGATCAATCAATCAGTCTTATATATTTTAGTATAATAATTATTTTTTGAACATGAAATAACTACAAGGATACAGTTTGAAAACAAGCATACTAGTTGTTGTTTGAAAGATTGTGTATAAAAAAAATCAGTAAATGAAAATAATAAATATTGTCCTCACTAATATTCTAAACATAGAGTGATAGGTTTCTATTTTATATGTAATCATTTTCTACTTCTATGGAGCAATGGAAAGGTAATGGTGCTGTTTTATGAAAGAATGAAGCAAATTACAGTTCACCAAGACAGTGAAGAGGTACTCAAATGCATGTATCCATATACATGTGTGATGCCAATTAGAAACTGTTTTATTCTATAATTTCCTAGGAGCAATACACTCTGAAAAATTAATTGATCAATTGATTAAAATGATTAATTAATTGATTCAAAGCATATTCAAGTGTCATGCATCTTAACAATGTTCACAGCGTTAAGGCGTTAGTAACTGATTCATATACCTCACCTTCGGCAGGCAAGTAGCTACCTGTCTATATCTTGTGGCAGGTCATTCAGGTTATTGTTGCTGATATCCAGCCACTGCAAATTAGACATCCTCAGGACACAGATCGGGACACTGGAAAACTTGTTTGCTGAGATATCTACGAATGTAACTTGCTTCAAATTACTTAGCTAAAAAGGAATAACAAAATATTCTAATTACCATTATAAGAGTGGGAATTAAGTTCGATTAATAATTTTTAGATTGACATTTCTTCTTCAAAGGCATCTCTAGGAATCGATGCAAAGCAGACCAATCCAGTATGTATTTTGAAGCATCTCCTATGGATCTTTTCCTGGGTTTCCAGGATAAACTTCACACTGTGGCTGCCTTCAGGGAGCTTCTACTTTCATAAATTAAAAAAAAAAAGGAGGGGTGGGAACAAAATAAAATCTAGACCCTTCCCTCAATCCATATGTGCTATAACATGAATGAAGAACTTCAAAAATATCATGCTAAGGGAAAGAAGTCAGACTCAGAAAACGATAGCATGATTCCATTTCTAGGAAATTTCCAGAAAAGATAAGCTTAACAGAGATATGAACAGATTTGTGGTTGCCTACTGCTGAGGGCAGAGCAAGGAATAATAGCAAGCAGGCAAAAGGAAAATTGGGAGATAGGTGAAGGAAATATCCTAAAACTGAATCATCCTATACACTTAGGATGGGTAAATTTTATGACATGTACATCATACCTCAATGAACGGGGGTGGGGAATAGAAGAAGGGGTGGATACAGCAGCCTACCAGGGTATGCCCCAGTCCAGATGATAGACAGCTCTGGGGTGGATCAGGGTGCTAGGGGAAAGGTTATGAATGAGCAGTGGTCAGACATGATATACTCTGAAGGACCAGCTGGATGGGATTTGTTTAGGTTATACATGGCTCATGAGAGCAAGAGAGATCAAGGATGAATTGATGTACTTCCAGCCAGAACATCCAAGTGAAGACTGAGCCATTCCTGGATTGGGGACGACTAGAGGATAAGCAGATCTGTGCAGGGAATCCAAAACTCTGCACCCTCACAGAGACAAGCATCAGATATTGCTGGAATGAGATGGGTGCTAACAGCAGAAGCAGCCACATCCTCCCACCCAGGAAAGGAAATAACACGCTTCCTGGGTGGCTGGGTAATAATCATTTTTAGTAATAATCATTTTTAGCCCATGCCTCACTGGCAGAATTGTATGGTCCTTTCTCCGTTTCAGCACAGGAAACTCATTGAGTTTTATTTGACAATGAAAACTGTATACTTTTATCTTCTCCATTTTATCAAAAAAATTATTCAAAATCATTTCTCCCTGAACACAGACCAAAAGAAATAAATGAATCTTTTTAAAAATTCTGTGCATTCTGTGCATTTCTTGAATCCTATGACAATTCTAGACATCTACACGTCGGTTAGGAGCATATGAAAAAAATGTTTTACCCCTGGATTTATCTGCAGTTTAGCCATAGTAGATAAATAAATAAGGATTTGCATCAGAGACGACAGGCATCAGATATTATATAGGCATAAAATTATAATAGCTCATGTGAAAATAAGATGTTTTCCCTCAACAGCATTTCTAAATGCAGGCCCTGGTCTAGTTTCATAACATTTTTAAAGATGTTATGATTATGGTCATAAGGTAATTGAAATGTCAGAAAAATGTGATGGATTTTATCTTCTAAAAATTCTTGCCCACACCATGGACCATTCCTGTAGGGAACTGAATGAAAGTAAATCATGAAGCAGAAATGTTTTCATCTTACTTCAAATGGGAGCTCCATTAATTCCAGATTTCCAGAACAGTCCAGTCTTTCTAGATTTTCACAGTCCCCTAGTTCTGGAGGAATGCTCTTCAGATGGTTGAAACTCACATTGAGTTCTTTCAGGTTCTTCAAACGACCTGGCATCAGAAAAAGTTAAGCTCCCGTGAGTAGGTCCTTCAGGGTCTTTAAGAACAAAAGCGAGCCAGACTTGTTGGCACCCGCCTGTAATCCCAGAGACAGGAGGCTGAGGCAGGAGGATCCAGGGCATCCTGGGCAACTTAGTGAGACCCCTGACTCAAAATAAATCAATTAAAAAGGGGTGGGGATGTGGCTCAGTGGATAAGTGCCCCATCACCACCAAAAACAAAACAAAACTGTATTAAGTCACTTATAAGCACTGTGAGCCTGCCCCCAAATGAGCTGGATATGGTAAAATCTGGCTTCTGGACCAGGCTCTCAAGAAGTCCTCAAGTCAACAGCTGAGTGACGGTGGCCAAGTCATCTGACCTCCCTAGAACTTGCTTTCTCCAATCCATAAAATGAAGGGGCAGGAGATAAAACGGCCCTTTATGTCAAAGTTAGAACTTTTCAGCACTAAAACTTCTAAGCTCCTGTCTGCCTTTCCAGAAACCAGGCAAGGAATAGAGGCATTGACCTTGCCTTGTCTTGACTTGACTTCACACTATTCCCCTGCTTTGTGGATCACTAGTAGAAGAGACAGCACACGTACGTGGGTTCCCTTTATAATCAAGTCCACCAAGGGTGATACAGATGACCCGGGAAGATTCTGCACACGTAACACTAAAGAACACCAAGCTCAGGAAACACAGGGCTTTTACAGCAAGCAGCCAGCAAGCCTGCTCTCTGGGGGAGATGTCACCTCATCCTTTAAAGTCAGCAGCGGCATAAACAATCCTGAGGTCAGGCTGGGTAAGAGGGTGTTCAGGGGCCTTGTGGTCTTGACACACCTGGTAAGGTATGTGCAAACACCAGAAAAAAGCTCTGAGACCCCTGGAATAGCCCTGCCCAGTGACATACTTAAGTACTTGGAGGAGGAAACCCAGTATTGGCACAGTGTCACCTGCCCAATAGCTTCCTGCTTACCACAGACAGACAAGAGCGCTGGAGTTTCCTGCTACACCACATACCAATTTCAGCTGGAAGACATGAGATTTGGTTTTTTGGCAGATCCAGAATCCTCATTGCTTGAAACAGCTCAATGTATGTAGGAATGATTTGAATCAGGGTATTGCAAATGTGCCATTCTTTCAGGTGTGTCTGCTCCTTCAACGAGTCAGGCAGCTCCTAAGAGAATGAATGACGTGGATCAGAACCAGTCCTCGGTGTGCACAAAGCCCCCTGAAACCAGTTCTTATTTAAAGAACAAAAAGCGATGCTGGGCATGGTGGCACAAGGCCTGTAATCCCAGCCACTCAGGAGGCTGAGGCTGGAGGATCGCAAAGTCAAAGTCTCAGCAACTTAGCAAGGCCCTAAGCAACACAGCGAGACCCTTGTCTAAATAAAAAGTGCTGGGGGCAATTATGAAGAATACAAGCAATAATAAGTGTTGGTGAGGATGTGGGGGAAAAGGTACATTCACACATTGTTGGTGGGACTGCAAATTTGTACAACCACTGTGGAAAGCACTATGGAGACACCTCAGAAAACTTGGAATGGAACCACCATTTGACCCAGCTATCCCATTCCTCTGTTTATACCCAACATACTACATACTACAATGACGCAGTCACATCAATATTTATAGCTACGGAACCAACCTAGATGTCCTTCAATGGATGAATGGATAAAGAAAATGTGGTACCAAAAATGAAATTATGGCATTTACAGGAAAATGGATGGATCTAGAGAACATCATGAAATAAGTCAATCCCAAAAAAAAAACCCAAAGACCAAATGTTTTCTGATAAACTGATGCTGATCCATAGTGGAGGCAGGGACAAGGGGGGTGGGGGTAAGGGAAGAAGGAAGGAACTCTGGATTGTGCAGAGGGGAGTCAGGGGATGGGAAGGACAGTAGAAGGAGACAGACATTATTTCCCTGTACACATGTATGATTACACAAGCCAAATGAACCTGAACCATGTACAACCAGAGGAATGAGAAACTGTGCTCCTTTTGTGTACAATAAGTCAAAATGGACTCTACTGTAAAATAAATACATAAATAATTTTTAAATAGTGGGGGAGCTGAGGATGTGGAATAGTGGTTAAGCACCATGAGGTTCAATCTCTAGTACTAAAAAAAAAAAAAAGAAATTTTTTAAAATATAGACTATGCTGTCCTAGGGAGGGCCACAAGGTCCCAGCTGCCCAGCCTTAGAGAGGTCCAAGAGGATCCCGCTGTTCTTTTCTACGCTGCCATTTCTCAGAGGAAAAGATGGGCAAACCCAGTCCACAGCAGTAATGGGCTCCTGTTCACCCACTGGAAAGCTGTCTCAAGGCCAAGGCCTGGGGCTCAGGTCACTCCCACTTCCTGCAGACAGTGGGCTGCACTCACCTTCCAGTGCTCCCCCGAAAGTTCCAACACAAATGGGTTGCTCTGCTTGCCCTTGTCCTTGGCAAGTGAGCTCGGCCTGGAGAGCGAGTTCCTCTCGATCTTCTCCAGAAGCCTCACGCTGGTGTCAATGAAGCCATTCTTACAGTACTGAGCCTGGGGGATGCCCTTCCTCCTGCACTCAGCAACGAAGTTCCACTCCTCCTTTATCCTGAAACAGGAGCAGGGGCCACAGTCACTCTCTGGGGGAATGGCCACCACGGTCTTGAGAAGCAATTTGGGGCCTGGAGCATTGGTTCATGCCTATAATCCCAGCAGTTTAGGAGGCTGAGGTAGGAGGATCACAAGTTCAAAGCCAGCCTCAGCAATTTAGCAAGGCCTTAAGCCACTTAGCAAGACCCTGTCTCAAACTGGACGCAGTGATGCACGCCTGTAATCCCAGCAGTTTAGGAGGCTGAGGCAGGAGGATCACAAGTTCAAAGCCAGCCTCAGCCATTCAGCAAGGCCCTCAGCGACACCCTGCTTCTAAATATTATACAAAAAAATGGCTGGTGGGCTGGGGATAGAGCTTAGTTGGTAGAGTGCTTGCCTTGAATGCACAAAGCTGAGTTCAATTTCCAGCACACCAAAAAAAAAAAATGGCTGGGAATGTGGCTCAATGGTTAAGCACTGGATTCAATTCCCAATACAAAAAAAAAAAAGTGATCCCTCCAAAATGTTAATGACCTATAGCACCACCACTGTAAATTGTTGTATTCACAGAACTCTTCTCGATTCATGTCTCTAACTTTTCTTGCCTCGTTTCTTAAACCGAACTTGAAGGTAAATTTTGGCAATAGTATGAGATGGCGGCTGATAAGCCCTATATAATACATCTTTCCTAGGTCACTAATTGCAAATTGACATAAATATTTCACAGATTTTGTATAGCCAATGCAAATGGAGAAAGGGAAATTAGACAAACCCCATTCAGAATGGATTATACACCAAATACACTTTGTGTTTCTTTTTGAAATGTTTTGTCTTATTGCTTCTGAAACCTAATGAAAGAAAAGTCATGATGAGAATATAAACTATTTCTTAAATTTCCATTCTCTTCCTTGAGAGGAATTAAAATAAATAAAATGTCATTAAGTTTATGCTTTATCACCCACATAATTGAATCTGAAAACTTCTCCAGAATTAATTTTCATAGAACTTCAAATATGAGATAAATATACAAAACAAATGCCATTAGAGTGTTCTACTAATTTTTATTTATTTATTTGTAAATTTTTGATATTGGAGATTGAACCCAGGGGTGCTCTACCACTGAGCACCAACAATCTAAATAAAATAAAATAATACAAAATAGGGCTGGGGATGTGGTTCTTTTAATTTTTTATGTTGAGACAAGGCCTTGCCAAGTTGCTGAGGTTTCAATCCTCCTGCTTCAGCCAGCCAAGTGGCTGGGATTATGGCCCCTGCACCCAGCAAGCTCTACGCATTAAATCAATAAATGTGTATTGAAATATCTTTTACCTTAGGAAATAAGCCCATGATCCAAGCCCCGCTGGCAAATGACCTCATTGGCTAAAAAATGCTTCACTCAGAACCTGGCAATAGCTCTTTTATTTCTCCCTCTAAATGATCAAGTTTCATTTAGATGGAGTGGTTTTCTGTATTTTATCTCTACAACTTTTAACAGTTGATATGTAATTCTTGACACAAATACAGCAGTATAAAATGAAATACTCTGAAGAGAAGTAGCAGAACAAGTTGGAAGATTTTACATATTTTAGTAAATTTAAGCTAACAAGTTAATTGCCTTTTACGATCAGGCATTCATCAGTTTGTTGTTGTTGTGTTTTGGGGGGTTTTGTTTTGTTTTTGTTTTTTGGTATTGGGGATTGAACTCAGGGGCCCTAACCACTGAGCAATATCCCCAGCCCTATTTTGAATTTTATTTAGGAACAGGGTCTCACTGAGTTGCAAAGCACCATTGCTGAGGCTGGCTTTGAACTCATGATCCTCCTGCCTCAGCCTCTAGAGCCACTGGGATTACAGGTGTGCACCACTGCGCCCTGTTTATCAGTGTTTTTAATATATTAATTTCTGTTCAGGAAACAGACTCTAAGAAAAAACTAAGTTAACTTTCAAATAGTACTAATAATCATGAATTATATTACAGAAACACAAACACAACTATAAAGAAGAGAAATTCATTTCCACCATTGCTAAAGGTTCTGTGAAACTAAAAATTTCTTTCTTGAACATTCCATTTCCCTCCACACCCCTACACCATGTTCCTCTTCACCTGCCCCACCAACTTCAGGGCTGCTCTTCTTACCTTGAGCTGGAAAAGCCTAAAAATCCCCAAGAAGGTTTTTGTCTTAGATTGAAATGAGGCACAGCACAACTAAATGACACTGAGCCTAATTCAGAGTCAATCCTACTGTGTGAACTGTGTAGAGGTGTTTACACCTTTTATTGCTTACTTAAGGAGGACAAATATTCTGCCATTTGCCATCTGGATGTGGGTCTGGACTTCTTTGAGAACTAGTCAACCAATCAGAATCTCATTTCACCTTAACCACGCCCATAGTGCCTCATCGGAGAGTTCTGGTTTGGATTTCTTCACAGAATAAAAGTCATACACATATGCAAAGTCACCTTTCTCCTTCTCATACATTTATCAATCTTGTACACTGCTAATTGGCACTATATAATTTACCATTGTAGTGGTACCCCCTTCCTTCACAGAAAAGTCTTAACTGGGATTCTCCAGAAATCTTCACCATGGCTGATTTTAGGACTGTCAGCAAAAGAGTCTCTGCAAAAGAGTTCAACGTAGATAAACTTCCTATTTTCCTGTCGCCCTGTTTTACTTGGCCACCGGCCGGGAAGAAATCAGCACTCCAGGTGCTGAACGCCCCTTACTAGTTTTTTACAAACTCATATCCAGTATAATAGTTTTGTAGAAGTGTGTAAACAAGTCCTCTGGCCTTGATCTGGGCTTCACAGAGATGTCTACATTTTTAAGATAAGAGAAGATACAAATTGGGCTCTTCAGTAACAGCTGGCAGGGGGAGCAAAGAGAGAGGAGAAAAAGTTCTCCCCTTCTTAGGTGTTGTCCTTGAAGGGTTAACTTGCCCAAAACAGTGACAGAAAAAGCTGCTTTTATGTGAACTTCTGCAGATTGTGCACTTCTGAGCCCCTCCCCTTACATGCTGGGTATAAAATTCTGAAACCACCTGAACTCAGCCAAATAAAACTGTTTCCTGCTATCTTCGGTGCCTTGCATCATCTGTCCCTAAAACACCATAAATTCATATCTTCCATGAATGCACTTTTTCCCAAACACTAACTCAACTTAGTTTTTGTGTCCATAACTTTCTTTGACTCATACTTAAGGAGTTTATATGAGAGTTCATCCGATTGCATCATTTCAATTTAAGTAAATGTGCCAAATGAATCGTACCTAGATCCAGCTCAACAGGTGAGGCATGACAGAGAGCTAGCTGCCCCAAGGGCACCAGTAGACATAGCCAGAGCCGAGAGCATCAGAGAGCTATGTGAGTGAGCTCAGTGAAGGCTGGCTAAGCACCGTCTATGGCGTTTGGCAGTAGAGGAATGGCCAGGGCATCCCTGTCTCCCCTGGTCTAACATGGTGCTTGGATTATATGTAGGTTCTTGCAATTATGGGTGTTTCTGTTAACAAGCTGAGTGCGCATGTGTTCAGCAACAGCGTCAGGGTTCTGAAGTCCAACGAGGAAAGTGTTGCAGACAGGGAGAAATCCCAGAGGAATAGCATCTTCCTCCAAGGCGACAGTGGCCTGCCTGAATGTCATTCACTAAACAAGCAAGAACAACAGGCACAAAGACACATACTTTTCCAAGGCGCTTTTCTCGAGCCTTTCCGCCTCCTTCTTCTGCCAAGCTTTGTGCTTCTTGACACGAGTTTCCCACAAGGCTCTGACAACAGAAATGTCAAACACCACCACTTTATGTCCCATTGTGGCAGCATGAAATTACCTATTTGGAAAAAAAAAAATACATATGTCAGGCACATAGAAGAAAATCACTTTAACGTGAACTTTAAAAACGAAATATGAATGAATTGCCTGCCTTAAATAATGATGCTATGCCCTAGGACTTCCAGAATGGCAGTTTCTTATGGTTAGGTAATACTCTTTGTACTCAAGTCGTAATTCAACACTCACCCTAAGCCAGCTCCTCTAGGGCATCACATCTGTCCCCTACACCTCAGCTGGCTTCCCAAAGCCCCTCGGGCATTCTCCAAGCCCCAAGGCTACACATTCTATGGAACTTTCTGATATATGCATCTAATCTTTCCATTAGATTGTCACATACTATACGATAAGTTAAATGAATTAATCACAGCACACACAAACACATGCGCACACACAGACATAGTCTCTTCAGTAGAATAGTAGGTGTAACTCCTTAGTTATATTAAACCTCCATAAGAAAAAAGGCTTTGGGGAAGCCGAAGCAGGAAGATCCCAAGTTCAAAGCCAACCACAGCAATTTAGGGAAGGCCTAAAGAACTTAGCAAGACCCTGTCTTAAAACAAAAAGGGTTGGGACGTGACTCAGTGGTTAAGCACCCCTGGATTCAATCTCTGGTACCAAATAAATGAATACACTTGAGTGAAGGCACAGTTCCAATCTGCCTCCTGTGATTCCCATGTCCCTTCACTTTCAGTCTTGGCAATGCACTCAGCTAAATTTCACGTGCACCATCCTGTGACCAGTCCGGAATGTGGGTGGTGACCTGCTTCCCGTTCAGGTTCGTGAGCAGCCCAGGAGTTCATAAACAACCTTACAAAATTGCTTTTTCCTGGCTCCGTTTTCTCTCTGATGCCTTCCAGATTCCTGGACCTCCCTTTTTCAGTCCTCCAGCCCAAAAAACCTGTTCTGAGGAGAAGCACCAAAAGGGCTGCGGAGGGAAACAGCAATGATGGTTTGTTCCACACTCTCAGGACTCCAGTTCTAGACATGTGACCACCAATTGCCACCTGCTAGAGACATTCTCAGGACAGGGGCAGTGAGCCCTGTGGGGAAAGCCTTGGCAGACCTGGTGGGCAGAGAGGTGGGGAGGGGGTTGGAGGATGTCGGCTGCTGTCAGTTCCCACCGTCTGCCCCGTTGACCTCCAGGTAGGTGACCATGTGTTCTCTCCTCCAGTCATCTCAATCAAGGTGGACAGCTGGCTGGAGGCAAGGTCACCTCCTAAGTCCCAACTCCTGAGCTGAGATGTCATTGTTGGTTGCCTGGCCGTTGCCAACAACAGTCTCCAGTGTGTAGATGGCAACCAGCACGGGGCTTAGTCTGCACAAGGCGCAGCTGGCAGGTAGACGGGCGCTGGAAGTGCTGGTCCTCCCCACACTTCCTCCATTCCTCCCTGTTTACAAGGTCCCCTCAGCTTCCGATGCCCTTCCCCACACCCTTCCCTACACACATGGCTTCCTCCACACACCCTCTAACCTTTGGGGATCTCTCCTCAGTCTGGCCTTCCCAGACTCCCCATTTCAAGGAGAGAGTCTCCTCTTATTTTCTCCATCTGTTTACTTATTTACTTCACAGAACTTAATGCAAATTATTTGATTTTTGTGGGTGTTGTTACGTTTTATTTGTCCATGAACCAAACCATAGAAAAACCACAGCTCACTGACAGGAGCCCCCGTCAACACCAAGCAGGTCACACAGCAGCAGACAGGAAGACCCGGAGGGGAAGGAGGCTTGAGCCCTACAAGGGCTGCAGATGCCAGGCTCCTGTTTCTGAACCTCAGTACAGAGACACATGCACTGAGCCAGTGACTTGGTGTGTGTTTCTGTCCTTCCATTCCTGGGAACCCTCAGTAACTGACGTGTATGTCAATGCAGGAAAGACGAGCGCAGGTCCATCCACGGGACCAAGTTCCCAATCTAGGGAGGAGAATATGGGCACTAGGGAATATTTCAGCTCCAAATGCTAATTAGACAGCAGAGGCTGAACCAACGGCTGCAGGAGCCAGAAGAGCAATGCCCTGTGGTGGGGAACAGGAGAGGACCAGAGAGACCCAGCAGGAAGGGGAAAGGGCCATCCATACAAGTTTGGTTGAAGGACTTTCCTGCCCACCTCCCCAACTGAGTTATATCAGAATTGCCTTACAGAGCCATCTGCACTCTGGAGCCAGAGGGCATGACTGGAAAAATATGTCCCCTGGCACCAGATCTCTGGTCTTCACTCAGAAGTCATATGCCAGGGGGAAGGGGGAGGCTTTCTGTCCAATGACAGACTGGGCTGCAGGGGGGAAGGGTGCGGAGTGGGTGTCAGGCTAGCACCTCAGACAGAACAGGAAAAATCTGGGGGAGTCTGACAGGAGACTCAACCAAGTCTACCATTTTTTTGGTGCTCCCTACGTGAAGTTGAGAAAGAGAAAAGAGCAAAGAAAGGAAGGGAGGGAGACAAAGCAGGTACCAGAGTTCACCTGAACCAGCCGGCTCCCTTCTCCCCACCCACTGTCCCTTGGTGCCCCCAGCACCTCTCCCCACTTCCCTCAGGCTGAGCAGCTCCAGCCCTTCCACAGCATCCTTTCAGAGGTGTCTTGCATATGGAGAAGACCCCATCAACAGCCTGGCTGAGCTCAAGAGAATGACTGTAGCCTCCAGGAATGGCTAGGGACACCAAGGTGTAATAGGGACCATAAGAGGAGCTTGCGTAACTCACAAATTCCATTCCCTCACACACGGCCACTGTCTGGACCCCAGAGTTGGATGGCAGAATGTGCTCCTCATAGAAACAGTGGGCTGGACACTGAGGCGCACGTCTGTCATCCCAGCGGCTCAGGAAGCTGAGGCAGGAGGATCACGAGTTCAAAGCCAGCCTCAGCAACGGGGAGGTACTAAGCAACTCAGTGAGACCCCATCCCTGAATAAAATACTATTAAAAGAGGGCTGGGGATGTGGCTCAGTGGTCGTATGCCCCTGAGTTCAATCCCCAATACCAAAAAGAAAAAAGAAAAAGTGAAACAGTGGAGTAGTGACAGGCAGGGCGAGGGGGGGTGGGGATGGGACATGACACCCAAGTGAGGTCAGTAGAGTCAAAACAATGCAGCCACATTCTGAATTGAATGAATTTTTATGCTACAGGATCCAAATTTCCCCAAAAAAACACCAGATTATTTTGATGGTAAATTGTTAATCTAAAGTTTCAAGCCAGGGGAAGCCAGGGAACAGATGGGATTAAGAAGATCAAATCTGAGTCAGACTGCCTGGGCTGGAATTCTGCCTCTGGCTTATTGGTCGCCTGTCCCTGAGGACTTGTCCTCCCCGTTCTGTTGTGGACACAATGGAACAACAGCATCAGCTTACAGAATTAGTGAGAGAGCTACCTGTGATCATTTGAGTCCAATGCTTTAGATGGTGTCCAGCACCAGGAAGGTCAATTATTTAAAGAAAAGAAATTATAACAGACTTTTAGTAATCAAAGGTAAGATAAAAGCCCAAAGGTCCATGTGCATCCAAGGCTTTCTCACCCTGCCTGGTTAGTGAGTTTCAAGACGAGATTGGTAGATAGACCCCGGCAGAACGGCGGGCGCATCAGGGCTGCTTAAATCTCCCTGGGATCACTTTTCACCCTCGCCCCACCCCTTCCGCGCCCCCTGCCAGAGGGCGGGAGAAGCTTTCCGGAAGGAAAGACTGCCCGGCCTCCCCACCCCCGCTCCCATCAGGTGTCAATCATACTTCTCAAGGCCCCGAAAAGACGCAAACAAATTTGATTTATCACTCCTGGACAGAACTCTGGAGCAGATTGAGCTCAGCCTTGGACACCAGGACAGTGCGCTCAGAGTAACCCATCATCCAGGAGCAGGGTTCGTGGGGACCCTGCCACGGGAGCAGCCCCACGGATGGCACCTACGAGCCCCATCCGCTCTCCCAGTGCCCCACTCAATTGTAGTTTTTGAACTAAAATAGACATGGATGACTACCTCCCCAGTGTTTTGGGGGATGATGTCCCGTCAGCAATCTGGCTGAGCTCACCGCGCACCGGGGAGACCGGAGCCACCAAGCGCGCGGCCACCGGCAACTATCCAGCAGGGTACACGCCTCTCCCCTCGCAGCAGGACAGCCCACCCACCTGCTCCTCTGACATCCCTCCGCCGCCGCCACAGAGACCGGCCGCCACTCACCTCCCTGGTGCGGGTGGTGCAGACAGTCCACGGTCTGGCCACGGGGCCGATCCGGCTTCAAGGCTGTTTACACCCGCGAGCAACACCCGGAGTGGAAGGGCCACGCTGCCCGGAGCCTCCCGGGCCTGTGCGCTAACAGGCTATATTTGTAAGCAGATAATATGATCTGGAGGACATGTGCTGATAAACTATCTATCTATTCTATGTGACTCAGCCCAGCAGGAGACAAAACAGATTTGGTAGGGGAGGGCTTGGCAAAGGGCACCAGCCCGCCGGTTTGAGCCCCAGAGCAAGATTGAAAGCACCAGACCTTTTCACGTTAGAAACCCCCGAAGTGGAACAAGCAAAATAAGGTCAGAAAGGAGAAAGGGTCGCAGGTTCTTGGCACTCTAGTCTAGGAACCAAACAAGAAGCAGGATTAAAACACATGGCAATGTAAAAGTTTTTTCAGTGTTTGAGGCCAAGTGGAAGGTCTTGATTTCATCCTTCCATGTTTTTCTTTTTAATTTCCTAACATAGCAATGGTCCACTTTATGCTTTGAATATAGAACTTGCTGCTCTGTTACTACGATTTATTTTTTAAATGGACAAGTTTCTTTCTCTCTCTCTCCCCCCCTCCCTAATCTCAGGGGAAACAAGATTACATTTCTTCCCCATCCTGGGCGGAATTATCTGTCCTTGAGCAGTCACCCACCATAGGAATGTAGTATCCAGACTTTGGGGATGGCACCAGAAGACCTCAGAGATGACTATCTCCCAAATTAACAAGTTAATTAAAATTCCAACAGAGAACACATGGAATATAGCCTTTGAATAACCTCTTTACCCCCCCCACACACACACACACACAAACAGAGAGACAGACAGACAGACAGACACACACACACACACACACACACACACACGCGCGCGCGCGCGGGTTCCTACTAATGGGCAGAACCACAGCCTCTGGGATAGGAGTCCCCTGTGTTTCTCCTTTGCTAGCAAAGCAATAAATCTTTTTCCTTTTTATCAAAACCATGTGCTGGTTATTGGATTGGCACTGGGGACAAGGGCAGAGCTTTAGACCTTCATGTATTTAGGTTCTCTTTAGAGAATTTATTAATTGGGCAAATTTGTCTTGTCCAATATGACATGCAACAATAAGATAATAATTAGTCATGGAACTCCTTGCTGTCCCAAGAATTCAACCCCTTCCTGCCTGTAACAGCAATGGTTCCTAATACACCTTTGCCTTAAAACTGAAAACCACAGCTTTTATGTCATGTATACATCATAGTTCTAATTACAAAGTTGTTTTATTTTTAAATTATTTTCTATATGGAATTTATTCTATTTGCTGAATACATAATTTTTGACATTAATAACAATTATTTTTAATTGTATACTAAGCTATTGATGGGGCCCAAATAAATCTTTGCAACTATATTAAATCTCACCACTAATGTGTTGGATGTGCTTTTTTTGTGTGTGTGTGTGGTGCTGGGGATTGAACCCATGGCCTTGTGTATGTGAGGCAAGCACTCTACCAAATGAGTTATATCCCCCCAGTAGGGATGTGCTTTTTATTACTTAGAGTAGAATATTAAAATTATTTCTCTCTCTTGCTAAATAATGTAATAAAGAATTAAAGTCAGCTTACTATAATAGTACATGCATACTGTTATGGTTAGATTTTAGGTGTCCCCCAAAAGTTCATGTGTGAGACAATGCAAGAAATTTCAGAGCTGAACTGATTGGATTATAAGAGCTTTAACCAAATCAGTGCATTAATCAATCCACTTGATTAATTAACCGAGTGCCAACTATAGGCAGGTTGAGTGTGGCTGGAGGAGGTAGATCATTGGGAGTATGCCTTCAGGTTTATGTTTTGTCCTTGTTGAGTAAAGCACTGTGCCAGCGC